ATTAAAAAATGTTAAAACAACATAAAATTTTTTTCAATAAAAATAAATGTTTAAACATCAAAATTATTATCAATTAAAAGCAAATAAACAATTTGAATCAAGATAAATATTGTTTTATGAAAAATCATTCCGTAGACTTTATGAAAAATTACTGAATATTTTTCCTCAAAGATAAAAATAAAAAAAATTAGAAAAACGGTTCACCCTAAAGGCCATCCCTGCAACTTCCCGCTCATTTTGTACTTAAACGCTTCAAACTACACATTACGTTTTTGAGTTCTTCGAGCTCAAAAATATTATTTTTGTGTCAATTTGAGCTCTTCGAGCTCAAAACTCTAATAGCAGTTTAAAGACACAATTTTTTGAATTTTCAAACGGCAATAACTTTTGAATGAATGAACCGATTTTCACGCGGTTGGCGGCAATCGACGCAGTTTTTGGAGCTCCATGAAAAATTTCCAAGTTTAAATCGATCGAGCCATGAATTTCGAAGTTATTACAAAAAAACACTTTTTTCGATTTTTTTCGACAACGATATCTCAAGAACGCATCAACCGATTCTAACGTTTTTGGTGGCGATCGATGGGGGTTTTCAAGGTTAAGAGCTGATTAGTTTTTGAGACTGATCGGTTCAGCCAATTCGAAGATATTTAAAAAAAATGAAAAAAAAAAACAACTTTTTTTTCACTTTTTTTGGATTTTCTCGAAATCTACCGGTCCGAATCGGTTCAAATTTTCAGGAAATCTAAGTTTAGTGAAGCCTTTTCGAATGACACCAACCGCGATGAAATCGGTCAAGTCGTTCGAAAGTTACAAGAGGTTTACACACACACACACACACACACACACACACACGTACGGACATCATCGTAAAAATAGTCGGGAAAGCTTCCTGTGACCTTCAAACGTCGAGATCTGATGAAAACTCGATTTTTGTAAAACGGGGTGAAAACAATAACTTTCCGATTTTTGAAAATATGAGATTTTTAGCGGGAAGTTAAAAAGTGAAAGATGCGCCAGTGTAGAAAATTTAAATAATTACTTATGTATGCAAATAATTATTAATCAATATGAGATTATCAATATTTAAAAAAAATTTCCAGATGACTGGTTCTCTTAATATTATAATTACTAAGTTAAATAATAAATTATTACCAAATTCACAGATGTTGTAAAAAGATGGACAAGCAAAGCCACACACATATAAAAGACACACACACACACACACACATACACACACATATACACACACACATACATACAGATTTTTGAAAATATGAGATTTTTAGCGGGAAGTTAAAAATTTTTTTTATAAAAAACTCAAAACCTTGTCGATACTTATTGTACTTTAAAAACTGCGTCGAATGCCGCCAAGAAAATTAAAATTGTAGTATAAAAATATTCTGAGATTTTTGAGTTCAAATCTACTAATTAAAAAATTTGAAAAAGTCTTATGGTTAAAAATAGCTGGAAATTTCTGAGATAGCTTATATAACTTCATCGGCTTTAATTGAATAGAAAAATTCTCAAACTGAAAAATTTGTCTTCAGAATGATTTTCTTAGTTCAATAATTTTTCTCTTAAATTAAGTAAATTTTTTTTTTTCATAGATAATAAGTAGAATTATTAAAAAAAAATAGTCTAGATTTTCAACATATATGATCGTAGAAAAAACATCGATAAATAATTTTTACTACGACGCGTATTTTAATATGATGCGTAATTTTCCACGCATTAATTGCCAATAAATTAATCTTAATATTATTATCATTTACCTTTTTGACTTACGCGTACCGAGTAATTCAAATCTTTGAAGTCAATGTTAATGCCATCACCAATAGACTTTTCCACCAGCAAATTATTTTTAATACTGCCAATATTGATAATAGCTCCATTCATAGACAATTGGTTTAAAAGAACATCATTTTCAAGACTCATGTTTCATAACTCTGAAAAAAATTGATAAATAAAATAATCATTATTAAAATTATCATCTAAACAAAAAATTAAGTGCATGAGTATAAAAATCTATTTGTTACATTAAAATCCAATTGAATTTTATCAACTACCGAATATTAATTTAAATCTGTCTGTTATGCAGGATAAACTTTCACGTAATGGTCAAAATAATTTATTAATTATTTAATTATTTTCTCTATTAAAATTCAAATTTAAATGATTAAATACAATAAACGCACTGTATTACTCATCCAAACATTAATAATAGTATAATATATAGATCACTGTCACTTGACATTAATCTCTTGCCTGATTGTGAATAGAAACAATGAAATTAATAATTATAATTTATAATTATTATACTTTGTATTCCGTTGAGTGCTCGACGAATTAAGTAATAGATTGATGGCAGACCGTGGATAAGCAGAGTCCAACTGCGACTGATGAAAAGACACTGTCTTAGTATTTTATAAACTCAACTGACGATGATGGAGCTGAATATTTGGGAGGGAGAACAGAGAAGGATATAATCTCGTATCTAATAAACAATAAAAATTTACTTGAAGATTAAATTGAAGCTCTTATACTTATACTTATACTTATGCTCGCCAGTGAGTGAGTGAGTTAACGCAACACCGCAAGTGCTGCACTGTATGTTTTTTATGAGGGTACTGCGCGTGTAATTTATTTTAATTCGCAATAACTTAATAGTTACTTTCACAAAGTTGACAGGACGAGTGGAAAGTATGCTGCTTGACTAGCTTCAATCCCGGGTTTTACTTTAATTTATATATTCTTTTTTTCGTCCAACTTTATTCAAAAGATTTTCTTCGCTCTTGTATTTATAAATCAATTTAAAGTTTGGATAATTAGATCTCTAGTTGAGCTTTAGTTGATTACAATTTTTTTAATTTTGTGTAATATTATAATAATTTTTTTCTAAATTTCGGATTTTTACAGTAGTTTATGAAGTTATTATAATTAAAAACAGGTTTTTTGTTTTATATTTGCTCAAAATTTATTCATAAATTGTTAAGCTTACAGTTATTGAATGGTAATTAATCTTTTATGAATATAATACTGAAATCAGCAAACATCTGTTATGTAAAAAATATTAATTTAGGGTAATTAATTAATTTTACATTTAAAATATTTAATGTGTTTAAGTATTCGATCCTAGCGTGTTAGGCTAATAGACCGGGAACTTCCGAGTTTTAATTTATTGAGAAAGATAGGTTTGTTTGAATAAATTGATGTAGTTGAATAATTTTAATACATATATTGTTTGAATCCAAAATTAATATCATAAGTTAAATTACAATAATTACAATTATTACACAGTGATTGAAGTTAACTTTTCTTTCATATAACGATTTTACAATATTACCAAATTCACAAATATTAATAATTTAAAATATACCTGATAAAAAATTTAATGAACCTTGTTGATTTAATTTGTTTTAGTTGGTTTCACTTTACGATTTTACTTTACCTTTACAAATGCTTTATTTTCTGTACAATAGATTTACACGTGGTCTATTGAGACTTATTTAAACTATGTACGATGTTAACACTAGGACGTCAGGACAACGAGAGAGATTTTTTGGTGACAATTGCAAGGTGTTGAATTTTAGGGCGTTACTAATTTCCACTCATTGGGGGAAACAAATGTCCAATTATTTGTCTATTTTCTCGGGCCCTTACCCTCTCTCTTAAATTTGTTTAAAAATGTTGCATGAGTCCCTCTACTTGGGTCTGAGTACCCAAAATATGTACTTGAATCTAGCATCTCTTACGTTTTCTTGAATTTAAATTATTTATTTGTAGAAATATTTCTGTTTTGTCGTTTTATAAATTTGTTGTATTATTTTAGAATTTAATTGTTTAATATTTGTTTATTTTTAATTATTTAACTTTCAAGTTCTATTTTTTTTTATTTGTTTTTCATTTCATATTTAATTTTGTTGTCTAAAAATTATTTCAGAAAGTTCATTATTAAAATTTATTTCGATATTTTTCTCAACACTAAAATTCTGTCATTAAATTATTCTAAAATCTTTCGGTTTAAAATAAATCTTTTATCTTATGTTCTTTATCATTACTTAAGTATTTCTTATTTTAAGTATAAGTGAGTTTGCTTACGTATAACAAAACTCCCATTTATCTATTTAATCTCTTTAAAATACCTGGGCCCTCAGACTAATTACGGGAATTTCCCTGGCCGGGCCTTTTGCAAAAATCGAACGAGACACTTAATGACCGCACTCAAATTAGCTTTAACAATCGTTAAAAACGAAATAAAATTATACTCGATTTTTATAGTTAATAAATATATGTAAAGAAAAATTTCTTTACATAACACATCTGACGATTTTTTTGATTTTTATTAAAAATTAATTCACTGATAGAAGGATTTCTTAGCATTTAAGAAGATTTCTTTGTATTTAAGAAATCATTTCTTAAACATCATTACTTAGTATTTAAAAAATGTTTCTTAGTATTTAAAAAATATTTCTTAGTATTTAAGAAATATTTCTTAAATACTAAGAAATATTTTTTAAATACTAAGAAATGATGTTTAAAAAATGATTTCTTAAATACTAAGAAATCCTTCTATCAGTATATAAAAAAAATGTTTTTAAAAAAATTTTCACTTGTAATTTTTTTTTTTTTGACTTCTAGATGTAGAATTTTTTTATTAAAATTTTATCATAATAATTTATTTGTTCAATTTCAAAAATTGACAGATGTCTTTTAATTTCAATAACATCTACAAATACATTAATTGTTAAAAAACTTCCAGAACTTAGGATAGAAATTTTTTAATATATAAATCAATAAGATTTTTTTTTACTCGTTTTGATTCTATCAATACCCGTTGAGATCATTTCAGTAAAGAAGGTTAAAAAAGATAGTTTAGTTTACAGACAATTCAAATTTCTTATTTTTAAATAACTTCAAATTTTTCCATTAAAGTTGGATCAATTTTTTTTGTGAGTTTTAAAAATATTAAAAAAATTAAAAATTTTTAACATTTTTTTGCGTACTATTTCTTGCAAGAATTACAAAATTTTCCAAGTATTAAAATTACATTTTTCTTTTGTTCTTATTTTATTAATCTATTAAATTAATTTTTTCAAACGTAATCTTAGAGTTATATAAGCTAGCATATCAAGTAAAACATACAAAATAAACAATATCAACATTGAAAACCAGTAATCAACGTGTATCATTCCCATTTCGCCCATAAGTTTCTTAGGGTACACAAAATGGCAGTAAACATCCGAGCAGTGCATTTTTCTTCTATCGAATCTGTAAAAAAAAGAATTCATCAGTAAAATTACTCTATTCAAATAAAATAAAAACTTACCCGTACATAGAAGCCATAGCACTTTCAAACCCGTATTTGAGAAAAGATGCGTGGAACAGCCACTGAAGATAAGAGGGAGCATCATTAATGTGAACAAAAAACCCACTGAATACTACAAATGGCATTATCAACAGCGGTCCAAGGATCACACTATTCTGAAGGGAAAAAAAAAATTCTATGCAAATCTCGGATTTATTTCGTAATAAATATTAATAATCATTTGCATTTTATTTTACCTGGACGCTCATTCCAGTTCCTACAATAACCCCAATAATCTGCGCAACTAGACTGACAGCTACTGAAACTATAGCTAGTAGTACGAATCTTCTTCCCTCGGGTATTTGCCCGGTCATAAAGTAAACAATAAGTGTGTAAATTGAAACTGCTATTATTTGTATTGGTAAATCGGCGAATTTGTTTGCTAAATAAAATGATCTTAATTTGTACCACCTGTTGAAATGTTCTCTCGTTACTATTGGAACTGCTGCTGGAACTAATTAATCATAGATAAATTAATCGATAACAATAATTATAATTAAAATCTGATGGAAGATTTCAAAAACATATTTAAGACTTAGAAGAGATCAGTTTCTGTAAATTTATGTTTTATCAAGCAGAAATAAGAAATTTTTTTTTGTTCAAATAAATTTTATTTTATTTAAAAATTTTTTTGCATGATTCAAAATTATCGCTTTTCAAATATACTTCCTTGGTTCAAGATTTTTTTTTCTCTTCGCAGCCAAGTTAATTTTTTTTATCAGTGTATTAATTAATATAATTAGTAATTATAATGGAAGAAAAATACTTACATGTAATTAAAGTTGCACTAAAAGCACAAAACATCAAAAACATAAGATTAAAAAAAATTAAATTAAAATTATCAATCGCGAATGCTGCGTCTTCACCTATGTCGTAATAAATAACTCCTACGATAAGAGCAATTATGCAATGCATTGACAATCGAGTAAACGTCAAGACCTAAATAAACATAACAACAATTAATTATTCAAGTCTTTATAATATATATATAGTACCAAAATGTAACCCGTGGAGAATCTTTTAGAATTGGAATTTTGAGTTCCGCTTTTAGCAAAGGCTGAGTTTCAGCATTTTCTGAGATATTTTGTATATTGGGGGTGAGACGATATCCTTGATTAAAAAAAAGTATTGATATGTATTGAATTGACTAGAAAACCAATAATACTTTTCAATACTTTTTTTTTGTCTCAATACTTTTTTTTAATCAGGGATATTTTATTTTCATAGAATTTTTTAACAGTACTTTAGTTTGGGCATTTCCCCAAAAAATTCAAAATTTGGCTGGAAGTGTTCAATTAAATCTTCTGTTAAAAATTCTATGAACATCAAATAAATCCTCTCACCCCGAAATATCTCAGAAAATACCCAAACTCAGCTGCTGTTAAAAGCGGAACTCAAAATTCCAATTTTAAAAGGTTCTCCACGCAAGTTACATTTTGGCACACCCTAATATATATCAGCACAAATAATCTCTTCAACGATAAAAAAAAAAAAAAAAAAACTAACTTTATCTCGCGACAACTTAACCATGTTTCTTCTGAATAAAATATACAATTGCTGAAGAAATCCAGTGGCATAATATCCAGGTTTATTGGTAACAATATCATTATCATTGTCTTCACAAATCTGTAGACTCAAGCCGCGCCTAAACTGACAATTAATACTCCATCCGATTTTCTCACCAGAAACAGATCTCCAATTATTGTTCTTTCCATTCTGAATAGAGTCCACCAGTTTATTGTTCCAGTTACCATAATCGCCGTTGCATATTTCCATTACTAATTGCGAGACAAAAAGGTTCGCCATTAAAATGAAAATAAAAAAAGTGAAGATTAAAACTTTAAAAAAGGTTTGTTCTTACAAAAGTCCGCAGGATTATGATAAGTGGGACAGTGTAATCCGTGCTTAGCTAAATACGGCAATATGGATTTAGTTCCTCCTGTGTAAACACAAAGACCTTCTACAATAACGTACAAATGGTCCAGCATATCGAAAAGGGTCGCACTGGGCTGGTGAATTGTCATTATAATTGTACGAGGACCTTCTCTTGCTAATGCGCGTAGCAAATTAATACACTGCTTAGAAGTCACGCTGTCGAGACCGCTACAAAAAGCACCGTGGATTAACAAATTAATATTTATTTTCAAAAATCAAACACCAGAGTAATAATTAAAATAATTCATGTATTTTTTACATAACTTAATCTAACATTTAAATACCTTGTAGGTTCATCAAAAAACATAACCGGTGGATTATTGACGAGCTCAAGAGCGATCGCAAGTCTTTTTCTTTGGCCTCCGCTCAATTTTGCCGCTCTGGTGTGTCTGCAAGCCTCAAGACCCAGAGCAAAAATAATTTGGTCGACCTGCAATAAAGTTATTTAGTTTTCACCATTACACAGAAAAAAAGGTTCACTTGAGCCAAGAAAATATTTTTCTTCCTAATTATTTTCTTGAGCGAAAAAAAATTTTTTTTTGACACAAGAAATTTCACTTATTCCATCAAAATTAATTCTCTTGCTTTAAAAAGTATGTACGTTTCTTGATCCAAGAAAATTTATTTAAGTCAAGAAAATCTTCTGTTTTGAGAAGATTCAGCTTTTTGCTCCAAAAAATTTAGTTCTTGATAGAAGTAAATTTTCTTGTCTTGAAAAAATTTCTTTCTTGCTCCAAAAAAATTAAATATCTCGATAGAAGTAAATTTTCATTAATATTATTATTGATTATCATCGCGTGCCAAATACCAAAAGGGCGTATAAAAATTATACGCCCTTTTGGTTTTGCAAAGCCAAAAGGGTGAATAATTTTTTTTTTATACTCCTAGTGCCAATCGTTTTGTAAACATGTTTTAAGCCTAAAAATGAAAAAAAAATTTTTCAAAGCCAAAAGGGCGTATGTTTCGAGTTATACGCCCTTTTAGCTTTATAACACTGAAAATTTAGTGATCTTAAATCAAAAGGGCCTATAATTTTTAACTTCCCGCTAAGAAAATTAAAAATTTTCAAAAATTGGGATTATATAGATTTTACCGCGTTTTTCGAAAATAGAGTTTTCATCAGAATTATATTCAGCTATACTCAGCTTAAAAAAATTTTTAACGATTAGTTAATAATTTTTTATTTATAATAAGGTGTTTTTCATTCTATATATAGATATTATGGATTTTAACTACAATTTTACGCAACAAAAAAAAAGGAAATTTATAAAAAATGCTTTTTTAATCATTGGACTGTCCAAAATGATGAAAATTTAAATTTACTACTATCGAAAACGTTGAATTTTTCGAAATTTTTTTTTCACAAACTTTCTCCGGACAATTTTGAAGACTGTTATTCGAAATATCGAAATTATGAAAAATCCTGATTTTTTTTTATAAACCCTTTTGGCTTTAGACTGATAATTTCCTAGAGCCAAAAGGGCGTATATCTTAAGATACACCCTTTTGGCGTTAGTACGTCAAAAATTTTTTTTCTGCAGATCTTTACGTTTCGAGCGATTCCAAAAAGAATGGCAAAAAAAAATTTTTTATATGCCCTTTTGGCATAGAACCCTATCTAACTGCTGTAATAATTTGACATGTCAAATGGGAAGATCAAATAATATTAAATCATTTTTTTTTTCATTCAATATGTACAATTGCACGCTAAAATAATGTAAAATGGGTATCAAATATTCAAGAAAAAAATTTTTTCAAGGTGAGCAAATTTTTTTCTCAGCTGAAGTAGGGGCACTGCTTCTCTAAAGTATCTAAAAATCTCGATCAAATATAAAAATTTATTGTATCAAGTATTTACGATAATTTGAATTAAGAAAAAATGACTTCCACCAAGAATAGAATTTCAAGAAAAATTTTTACTTCGGCCAACACAACTTTGGTCTTCTTTCAGGCACTCGAAAATTTTCTTGAGTCAAGAATTTTGTTCTCCAATCAAGAAATTTTTCTTCCTGTGTAGAAGAAGAATATAACAAAAAATAAATTACCCTCTGGGCTTTGTCATGATTATTCCAGTCAAGTTTAAGATTGGCTGCAATATGAACGCTCTCCTCGACGGTAAGAAGCGGCTCGAGGTTATCGTCTTGCATTATGTATGCCGATGATCTTCGAAACTCCACAAGATCGCGTGGGCTTCCGTTTACAGAAACCGCGCCGCTTGTTTGGACCCTGGTCAAATAAAATTTTTATTATTATTTTATTAGCAGCAAATGTCAAACACTAGCTTCACCTCGGCTTTTATTATACTTAGAGATCAAGATAATTTGTATTCCGTTGTGTTAATAATTGTTGAATCGTAAATTAATATCTCACGGACTCTTTAATATGTCTATCAAGTACTTGCATGTACGTCTTGCAAATCATTCTGCCGCAAAGACAGATAACTGAGTATTAAAAATAAATAACAATGCCGCGGTTGATAATTAGCATAGCATCGTTAGAAAAAAGTGTGCTTTGATTAAAAATATTATTAATTATTTCGTACATAAACCCAGCTAAAATGTTCATTAGAGTCGACTTTCCAGCCCCGGACGGACCCATTATCGCCGTCAATTCTCCTACTCGGAAATCACCGCTAACGGTCGTTAGTAACGGCCGGCTTTCTGTAAAAAAAAAAATTTATTATTCATAATCATTAGTCGTTAAAGCATTAGTATGATATTATAATGAAAGTCTAGCTTGGATTTTCTAATTTTTTCGTAAAATTCACTTTAGTTATTAAGTAATGGGCTTCGCGGAAGATATCGTTGTCGATAAGAAAGTTACAGCTGGATATTCCAAATATTCAGTGGGTTGTAAATTACGATATTTATTACGATAAATCATTAAGATAAAATTGATTGATTATTACTAAGTTTTATTTAAATAAGTTATATTACTTAAAACTTAATATTAATGAAGAAAACTTTTATAATTTTTGTTATATTGATTATTTAAAAAACCATTTATATTTTTTTTTTTAATAATTAATTATGATAATTTATAAAAAGACAATATTTGATGAAAAACAATGATAACAACAAAGTCAATCTTCCGACACAGATTATAAAGTTTAATAACTCGTTAAGATATAGATACTTTAAAGTCTTTGTTAGCTGACTTGTTTGTGAATTAAAAATTCAATGTTAAAATTAGTAAAAGATAGATTTTTCAATCAAATACCTTTCTTTAAAATTCCAGTTCTGACACTGTAGGACAGCCCGTCGAAGGTCAAGTTCAGTGAACGTCTTGTGTTCTTCGGCAGCATTTTCTCTTCCATGATGTTGGCGATGATGATTCTTGATTTAAACTTTCAACGGGAGAAACATTAGATACGAGTTATCATTTTTCAAAGTATTACGCTGGTTAAATATTATCTGAGTTGTAAAAAAATTTTTGTTGATTATGAGTAACTTGTAACTACTAAAAGAAGACGCTTAGAAGTTGAACTTAATCACGATCGGACTGAACGCGTACTGATTTACTGTGTGATAGAAAATTATTATACAGCAAGAAATAGTATTTGAATTGCCACGCGCTCTCCGTAAGACAGTATACTTCGTCTCCCCACCCAAACATTTTTCACATTTCTTCCTCTCGACCTGCTAACACCTGAGTAATTTAACAACAGTCTTGTCATACTACTATTTGTGTATAAATATTTCTGTGTGATGTTCATACATTTGCGCTATTTTTTAAACTATATCAAATAATAACAGGATTAACTGAATTTATAATTTAACTTACAATTTTTTAGTACTTAAAATTATAAAGTTATAATTTATAAGAATGAATCAGTTGTAACACTAAATTTTATTAACAAATTAAGTTCATTGTAAAAAAAGGAGTAAGGAAAATATTAATTTACAAAAATTATATTATTTTTTTAAGTCGAAGACGAAGAATTATAAAAGCTGTCAAGTCGAGTGTAAAATACAGAATACATAGGACTATAAACGAAAACCAGTAGTTAGCGTTTATCATTCCCATCTCTTTCATAAGTTTTGCAGGAAAGATGAAATGGCAGTAATCTTGTGAGCAATTCATTTTTGGTCGATCAAATCTGTAATTTGACATTATTTTTATTTAGTTTTAACAATGTAACCTAATTAACCAATGTAATGATCATTAATCATTATAATAATAAATGATTTACCCATAGAGCGATGTCATTGCGCATTCAAAGCCGTATTTGAGGAAAGAAGAATGAAAAAGCCACTGCAGAAAAAATGGGGCGTCGTTTAAATGCACAAAGAATCCGCTGAATATAACAAAAGGCATTATAAAGAGCGCTCCAAAAACAACACTGTTCTGAAAGAGTCGTAAATTAAAATTTTTTATGAAAATTAATTTAGCAGATATTTAATAATTTTAAAAATTTTTGTAACAAATAAATTAGAAAAAAAAATTAACATATAGAAATTAAAAAAAAAAAATTAAAAATGCAATTTTTTAAAAATAATTTTTTGGAACAAATTTGTTTGTTAAAAAAAATTTTTAAATCGTCAAGTGACTGCTAACTTTAATGTTATAAATTTTTTTAGAGTAAAAAAAAAATTTGTAATTTATTATTAATAGAATGAAATGATTGTATAAATGATTGTGTACCTGTAGACTTAATGCAATGCCGACTATTACTCCAATGAGCTGAGCAACGAGACTAACAACAACACAAACCATAGACCAGAGTATGAATCTCTTAACTTCAAGAATCTGGCCAGTCATGAAATAAACAATATATGTGTAGATGGTGACAGCTAATATTTGAATAGGGAAGTCAGCTAATTGATTCGCTAGATAAAATGATCTTAACTTGTACCACCTGTTGAAATGTTCTCTCGTTACAATTGGCAGAGACAAGGGAACTACATACAATTAAGAATCATCTTTATAATTTAATCAATTACTTAATTAAATTACGTAATAATATTCTACAGTTGAAAATAATAAACATATATGATATTAATACATACAAGTTGTAATAGTAGAACTAAACGCAGAAAACATCAGAAACATAAGACTGAAAAATAGTAAATTGAAATTATCTAATGCAAATGCTGCGTCTTCACCAATACCATAGTAAATTATTCCAACGATAAGTGCAATTATGCAATGCATCGTCAGTCGTGTGAATGTTAAGACCTAGAAAAATAAGAAATAACTCAAATTTATCATCATAGTTTTGATGTTTTTGTTACTCACTCTATCTCGGGATAATTTAATGGCATTTCTTTTGATTAGTATGTACAACTGCTGAAGAAAACTAGTAGCATAGTATCCACAATGATTTTCAGTAACTTTATCGCTTTGAATTTTATCATCGTCATTATTTTGATTACTTCTATCTTCAGACTCTTTGGGACTTAATCTAGTTTTGAATCTTAAACGAGTACTTTTATTTGATGCTGATCTCCAGTCATTAGACTTTCCGTTGTCAATGGTCTCAACAAGTTTATCATTCCAATCACCGTACTCGCCATTACACACTTCCACAACTAAAAAAAAGAGAGAGTTTAATAAATAACGTTATAAATATTAATCGAAATAATTAAAACATGGAGTGAAGAAATAAAAATGAATATACATACGAAAGTCAGCTGGGTTGTGGTAAGTAGGACAATGTAGATCATGTTTTTCTAAAAATGGCACTATAGCTTTTGTACTTCCTGTAAAGACACAATGCCCGTTGACAAGCACGTACAGATGATCTATCATATCCAGATGTATTCCACTCGGTTGGTGAATTGTCATTATAATTGTACATGGACCGTCTCTTGCTAATGCGCGTAGTAAATTAATACACTGTTTAGAAGTCACGATATCAAGACCACTACAAAAATTATCATGCATTGATTAACTAATCAATATTTATTTTTTACAAATCAAACACCAGGTAGTAATTAAAATAATATGACACTCAAGTTGACAGACATTAAAAATTTTTTTAGAATTTTATGGCAATTAAATTATTATAAAAAAAAAAATTTTATTAAAAAGTTCCACATGTGAAAATTAATAAAAATTACAAGTGAAAATTTTTAGAAGCATTTTTTTATTGTTATTGATTTGTTAAAAAAAAATTTTGAAATTGATAGCTGACGGCTAACTTCAGTATCATAAAATAATTCGTGTATTTTATGTGATACTAAAGTTAGCCGATGTTTTTAATTTTTTGATTTTTTTTTAATAATTAAATTAGAACAAAAAAATATTTTTTTTTAAATTGCACTTACAGTTTTTCAAGTTTTTAACAATTGACAATTTTTTTTCTTTTTGTTTTGTAGTCATTTTTTCAATAAAAAAATTTTTTTAATTTTTAAATGTCGGCTAACTTAATTTTCATGTATTTTTTACATTACTTAATTTAACAATAATTACCTTGCAGGTTCATCAAAAAACATAACCGGTGGATTATTGACGAGCTCAAGAGCGATCGCAAGTCTTTTTCTCTGACCTCCGCTCAATTTTGCCGCTCTTGTGTGTCTGCAAGCCTCGAGACCCAGAGCAAAAATAATTTCATTGACCTGCAATAAAGTTATTTAGTTTTCACCATTAGAAGAAGAATATAAGAAAAAATAAAATTACCCTCTGGGCTTTATCATGATTATTCCAGTCAAGTTTAAGATTGGCTGCAATATGAACGCTCTCCTCGACGGTAAGAAGCGGCTCGAGGTTGTCGTCTTGCATTATGTATGCCGATGATCTTCGAAAATCCGCAAGATCACGGGGGCTTCCGTTCACAGAAACCGCGCCGCTTGTTTGGACCCTGGTCAAATAAAATTTTTATTATTATTTTATTAGCAGCAAATGTCAAACACTAGCTTCACCTCGGCTTTTATTATATATAGAGATAGAGTAGATCAAGATAGTTTGTATTCCATTGTGTTAATAATTGTTGAATATAGTAAATTAATATCTCATGAACTCTTTAAGGCAGTTGTCATGGTACAATATTGTCAAAAAATTAGAGATTATACGCGCCGTAAAAGTATATAAGCTTGTAGCTAAGTAATCCATAATTTTTACGCATAGCAATACTGTACCCGTAGAGACGCAACCCATAAAATTGTTTCTGTCCGACTCCGTAGATATATACTTTTTCATAAATTGTTGAACTTCAATCTGTTATTTGTAAATAATTAGACGGTCAAAAATTTATTTTTTTTTTAAACTCAAAAAATACATTAAAAGACTGTCAATTTTTTGAAAGTTTCTGACAGTCAGTATTTTTTTTATAACTAAGAAACTGGTACAGAACTGCAGAGAACGTATGTAATCAATGTTAAATATCCAATTTTAAATTGAATTCATCATGAAAAAATATATTGAAAAAATTTCAATTAAAAAATTAAAAAAAATTTTTCACATGTAAAAAACTTGAAAACCTATAAGTGCAATTTTTTGTAAATATCTATTTAGTTGTAATTTAATTAAAAAAAAAAATCAAAAATTTTTAGACGAAGTTAGTCTGCTAACTTCAATGTTAAATTCATCTCGGTTTACAGGTGGTTAATCGATTTCAAATTTGTAGAGTAATTGTATCATCATGTCCTTAATTATACAAAAATTTAGAATTTTCTGACGGTATGCCTTAACCACGACAACTACCTTAATATGTCTAACAAGTATTTGCATGTACATCTTGCAAATTATTCTACAACTAAGCCAGATAACTAAGTATTAAAAAATTAATAATAAGCCGCAAGTGGTAATTAGCATAGCATCTTCATTAAAAATAGTGTGTTTTGACTAAAAATTTGTTTAATAATTTATTTCATACGTATATCCGGCTAAAATGTCCATTAGAGTCGTCTTTCCAGATCCAGACGGGCCCATAATAGCTGTTAACTCTCCCACTCGAAATTCACCACTAACTGTGGTCAATAGTTGGCGAGTTTCTGTAAAAATAATAATTTTAGTCATTTATTCTTTACTTTCTTTTCAATCTTTAGGTCTAAAAACATTTTTATATTTATAAAATATATTAAATATAAGTAAAAGGAACGAGCCTTGAGATTTCTGGTAGATGTAGTCAGGATGGACGATGACAGGTGGACAAAAATATGCATAAAAAATGAGATGAGAGAGATAATGAACAAGAATCCAACAAAGTGGGGAAAAACAATAGAAAAATTTTTACAAAAAATAGGAATTGGAGAACTACCGAAAATGATTTATGAGGGTTGCAGCAGTGACGATGTGGAGGAAAAAATAAAAAGCGGATTAGAAAATTATAAGTGGATGTTGGATGAAAAAGAGGAGATACTAATAAAAAAATCTACCTACAACGAGCTATATAAAAATATAAAAACGGAGGAAAGCAACAACTATTGGAAAAGAGACAACATAAGAAGCTAGTGAAGATAAAGAAACGTGGGCTAGATTACGATGCGGTAATATTTGGAGGGACGGAAAAAAAGGGCATAATAACTGGGGGTGCAGAATTTGTGAAAAAGAGCAAGAAACGATTATTCACATTATAAAGTGCAAGGAAATTCATGAAAAAATAACAGTGGAAGGCAAATAAGCAAAAAATAAATGGCTAGAAGAGGTAAATAACGATGTGTCCAGTGAATTAATGATAGAAATTTTAAAAGGGGAGATAAAAAAAGACTTATGTACATTTATAAGAGATGTAGAAAGAGTGTTTAAAGAAAAAGCACTAAATAACAAAAATTGTCAAGGCGCTGCGGACATATAATGTATACTAAAAAATGCAAAATTAATTATAAGAGTAAGAACAGAAATGTGATACTAGTAATTTTGTATAGTATAAAATTATTATTTGTTATAAAAGCTGTAAGGAGTGTGATATACTAGATTAAATCAAAGATAATAGTAAGTGGATGTAATAAAATAAAATGTAGTGTAGAGAGTGGTGTGTACTTATAAATAACTAAGAGTGTACCAAAGAAAAATGAGTAAAAAGCAATTATTTTTGTAAATGTAATATGGTAACAGTTTTGTAAAACACTAAATATGGTGATACAAATAAAATTATATTCTATTCTATATTAAATATAAGTAAGTTTGTTTTAGAGTTAAGATGTTTGTTGTTATCTAAAAAAAAATGTATTTTTTTTGTTGATAATATCTGTTGATAAGACTTAAAACACCTGGAAAAGGTAATGTCCTCTTGAAATTAAGATTAAATCTGATTTTGAAACTTTGAAAAAGAAATATATGCTATAGAGGAATATTAAGAAAAAAATCAAGAATGTGAAGAAATGTTTTAGCATGATTAAAAATTTTTATTTTATGTAAATTAGTAAGCTAGGTAATAACCGGTACTTTCTAATTTTTATTCCAAAGCGCTTGGAATTATTTGTTTATTAGGATCTTAAAAGTTTGAAGAAATAAAATTATTGATTGGCAAATGGAGTTTCAAAAACTATAAATAATATTTTAGTTAAATAAATATAGAAAATTATAAAATTGAGAGTTCTTTTAGTTATGAGGAGTGCAATAGTCACTTCATGATGCCCAAGAGAAGATAAATAATTTTTTTTAAATTGAAGATAATACTCGTCATTGTGCCTCAACCTCCAGAGTAATGAGATAATGTAATATTATATGCAAATTATTGCTCAACTGCGTTACTGTTAGTAGAGTCGTAAAGATTTTTATTAGCTCAGAATTATTAATTTGGAATATAATTAAAATTGGTATACCTCTCTTTATAATACCAGTTTTAACGCTGTATGAAAGACTATCAAAAGACAAGTTCAATGAACGGCTTGTAGATATCGGAAGCATTACTTCCCCCATGATGTTGCTGATGACAATTTACATTAAGAAAAATTGCATTTGACTAGAGCTTTAATTTCAGTGAATAGAAATATAAATAAGCGTACACAATGAACAAGTCAGTTTGATCTTCTTTTAATAAAATAAGTGCCTAAAATTGAAGTAATTATTTGATAATAGATAAAAATAGAATAAAAAAGATAAAATTTTTAAATAAAAAAAACTTAAACTAAAATTAATTACGACGCTAGCTAAATCGCGATCGACCGCGAACTGATCACGATTCACACATGACAAAAGTGAGAGGGATATTATTATCCAGCAGAGTTGATATTCGAATGAATACGCGTAATGACTGCGCAGCTTGATCGTGCAGTGCGTGCATTTTAATTTAAAACATTAAATTTATCTTACGACTACTTATGTTGTCGCTGAGAATAAGCTCGGCGCTCTCTACTTTCTAGTGTGAATAAAAACGAGCGCATCTTCATAAATTTTAGTTAAACATTGTGCCATTTTTCAGCACCGATTTTGAATAAATATTTTATTGACTTCAACAACTTATGCGATATTGAAATTAACAGATATTTTATAATTTTTAAGATTTTTTTTTAACAAATTAATTATCAGAAGAAAACTTAAAAAAGAATTCCACGTGTAGAAATTAAAAAAAAAATTTATAAATGCAATTTTTTAAAAATATTTTCTTATAACTAAGTTATTTTTTAAACAAAACCAAAACATAATTATCAACTTATAGATTTATCATAAAAAATTATAAGGAAAATTATTAGCAAATTAAATATATTTTTAAACATCTTTATTTATAATAAACCATTCAAAATTTATATTAACTAAAAAAAAAAAAACAATTTATATCTTCGTAAATACCAACTTAAAGCAATTATCGAATATATTAACGATTAATGACTAAATACTAGTCTCAACTTTGGACTAGTTAAAAAAATTTGCTCAATAGACAAATAAAATTTTTTAGTACAGAAAAATTAAGTCATAAAATATATTTTTTTAACAATTATACTATTGTTTCTTTATTCAATATTAATATTAATATTAATTAATTAATTAAATATTTGAATGTTTTCATTTAAATGAAAATCAAGTAACAAATATATGGTAAGACTTGAAACATTTATAAAAGTTATTTTTTATATTATTATATAAAATTCAACGTATTTAGAGATTCAACATATTTTTGAATAATTAATGACAGCAAAGTCAGTTAAATGATTCATTACATCTGAGTTGAGTAACAATAAGGCATCGTATTCAACAATGAGTAATTGACAATCACACATTTATAAAATACTGAGCAATCACGCTTTATGTTATATTTTTTACACATATAAATTCATAATTTCTTTATAATAGTATACGTATAATAAAATATTTAAGAGTGAAAAAAGTTTTATCGTCTATTTAATTTACACCAAAGCGCACTTGCAGTAAGTAAGTGCATAAGCACACCAATGCCAACGATCAACACCAAATTATTCATAACATTGACGTCGTTGATTTCCATTTCTTTCAAAAATTTTAGGGGTTTTTTATAGTGACAATAAATATCATCACACTTGAGATCTATACGATTAAAGCCGTAGATTGTATACAAGAGACTGTGAAATCCTGCTCTGAAGTACGAAATGTGGAAAATCCAACGGAACCCAACCGGTGTGTCCATATAACGGATACAGAAACCAAAGACTGAGAACAAAACAGCTATAACTGGGCCCGCAAAAACAGCAATCTAAAAGTTATTAAATAAAAATCTATTAAATTACCGTACGGTAAATAATGTGTTAAATAATGATTATAATTAGTGAATTAATTTACCTTGACTGGAGTAGTTGCTCCGATGAAAAATCCCCAAGCTTGTGCCGTCAAACTGGCAGCAATGCTGACAACCATAAACAATAATATGCGATGGGTTTCAATAGGTTGTCCAGTTAGCCAGTAACTGACAGCCAAATAAGTACTGGCACAGGCTGCTTGAAAAGGTATTTCAACCAGCAACAAACTTATGTAGTACGGCGCTAATCTGTACCACCTATTGAAGTGCTCTCTTGTAAGTATCTGCATCTCGATAGGAAATGCCAATGTTACGGCCATTTTACCGGTATAGACTATCAACAAAAGCGAGCCGTACAAATAGACATAATTGGCAAGAACTCCATTTGCACGGTATCCACTTCCCATGTAGAGGTAGCCGAATATTATCCCAATCATCAGATGACAAAGTAAACGTGTCATCATCAGCGAGTAATCTCTTCTCAGACACATAAGCTGTCTCTTGTACAAGAGATAACACTGAGCTAAAAATCCAGCTGGGGGAGGCGGTTCTTTAATCTCAAGCTCGAATTTAGCAATCTTAGGAGCGGTCGTTATGCTCTTGCGGTGTTCCCATATTTTTTCAGCAGCTGTTGCCAGCTTCTCAACAGTTATTCCGTAGTCTCCAATTGCTACCTCGATTAGGAAGTCCGCAGGATTGTGATAAGCAGGACAGTTCACCCCTACAGAAGTCAGGTGAGGCAAGAATGATGATACGGGCCCGCGATATATGCAGTGCCCGCTGGCAAGTGCGTACAGCGAATCGAACATCTCGAACAGCAGAGCCGAAGGCTGGTGAATCGTACAGACAACTGTACGTCTTTCTATTCTTGCTAGGCGATGCAGTAGCGCAATGCACGAGCTACATGACGCTGAGTCGAGACCTGTAATAATAAATCTTTTTTTTTATAATCTTTCTTGTCTTACTTATTATTATTACTATCAACCAGTTGTTATTTATTGCTTATTACTTATTTGTAATTGAATTTAAAAAAAATAAATGAGTTAGATTATTATTAGGTTTTTATAAAAAGATAATTTATGATACCTGTGGTCGGTTCATCGAGAAATAATACTGAAGGATTACTCAAGAGCTCAAATGCAACGTCCAATCGTTTTTTCTGCCCTCCGGATAAACGACCGCATAATGTATCGTAGCAGTGACTCAATCCCAGTATCTCCAGAAGCTCCAAGACCTTGATTAGTCCATGACAATATTTAAATAATTTATTATTGTAATTTTATGATTTCAATTGACAGGAATAAAAAATTATTGGCTTAGTGGATAATCAAATTAATCTTTTAGCATCATAATAAGTAGCGGCTGCAATCTTGATGAGATTGCCTGATTTGAATTTTATAATGAAAATAATGAGTTCGCACGCTAACCATTTTTTATATACAATGAATTATTTTTATTTGGAATTTTAAAAGCATTTATATTGCATAATAAATGTACATGCAATAATTGTTAAACTCACTAGATATATTTGTAATACTTCTGCGTATTATGTTAATCAGTTTATAGTATATGGAAGTATGTGTCCGAAATGATTGATTTTTAATAAATAATAGTACATTTGTTATCTAATGAACTTCAATTTTTTAATATTTTTGATAAAATATAATGTAATAAATTTTTTTTTTTTTTTTTTTTTTTTTTTTTTTTTTTTCCAGGCGCGCAGTAGCCTATCGGATCCGGCCCTTGCTACCAAAGCATTGGACCGGGTTCCCAATCTCAAAAGTTTACCCCCCTACCGTAGTCGCTCATGACCTTAGTAATTTATGCGACTTTAAACAAATTAAAAAAAAAAAAAAAAAAAAATTCAAAAATTTATATAAAAGCTTTTTTAGCACAAAATAACATCAAGAATTCAAGCGAATCAGCAATCAAAATTTTTTAAGCCCAACAAAATTTTTTTTTCAAATCAAGGTTTAAATAATAGTGATATAATTGAAGATGACATTGGTACTGTTCTTCAAATAGAGCCTTCCAAAAATATCAATAAGATTTGTTTGTCAGTGGAAATAAATGTTGATGTCATTTAACTTTGAATAAAATATTAAGAGCTTATCGTCTTTGAAAAATTATAATCATTGTGAAATAATTAATTAATTTAATGTATACTTGTTTAATGTTCGTATATAAAGTTTAATGACTGTATTATAAAATATCAATAATTTAGTTACTGATTAAATGCTAAATGACCGAAAAACATAAAAATAAGTTCTATAACTGTATGAAAATATTTTTTTACAGTTGTTTAACTTTTATTGCTTAAATTCATGGCCGCAACTTTTGGCGACTCAATGCTACTCTTAAAAAAAAAAAAGAAGAAATTGATTATCCACATTATAATTATAACTAAGTAATCAAAATCAAAAATAAGAATTATGACGGTATTTATAGGTAATAAAAATTGATAGTAAATAAAAATTAAATAAATAATAGTTATGAAGATGATACCTGTGTATGTTTGTATGCCGAACTAATCGTGTAACCTAATTTAAGATTCGCAGCAAGAGTCATAGCTTCACCGACAGTCAACTGAGCACGTGTTATCGAATCTTGTTGAATGTAAGTCGACGTCCTTTTCCATCCTTCGCTGTACGGTGAACGTTCTTTTCCATTTACTGAAACTTCACCGGTCATACCTTGGACGCTGCACAAGATCAAGTTTACCATTAATATTCATCAATTATTATCTGACCGCGAAGATCTTAAGCTTTTATGAGTTGCATTGCATTATAAAAATAAAAACTTACGTAAATCCTGCTAAAACATTCAGCAAGGTTGATTTGCCGGCTCCTGATGGACCCATTATTGCCGTGAGTTCACCGGCGCGAAATTCCCCGCTTACGCCATGAAGAATTTCTTTCGACTCTGCAATCACATAGACTATTAAGTGAATCATCAAATTAAAAAATTTATTAATTAAGTAACTAAATGTCATTGCATAATAAAATAAAATTTTGAATTATAAAGACATATATACGAGTTGGGATGTTTTATTTATTTACTTTCTCAAATTTAATTAATTGATGATAAAATATAATAGAAATATATCATTGACCCATTGATATCACGTGATATCCGCCATGAAATGGAACGTGACCGGGTTTTCCGGGCTTTGTGTACCGTTAAAAATGAAATCGCCGCGCAATAAAGGCGTATTGTCCAAGGACACTGTTTATGTCGGCAGATTTACAGCAAAACTCTTGGCATTTATTGTCCGGTAATCTACTACGACGTTATTTAACTACAAAACCGATTTAAGTACGCTTTTAAGTACTTCTTGAATTAATATAAATAATTCATTAATTCATAGATCATAATTGATCCTACAAATTTTTTTTTTTACCTAAACCGATAAATTTTATCTTCTTTTACATTACTTATAAATCAGAGCCATCCACATTTCAATTGCACTCGATGAATATTATTCATTCATCATATTTATTTTTAAACAACAATGAAATAAATTATACGACCATTAATGTACATTAGCACAATCCTCGATAAATCACTTTAGTTTTTAAAAC